CTTTTATTACTATAAATCGCTGGCCAATTAATCGACCAAGACTCGGGGAAAATATATATATACTTACTTATAGTTGCGGAGTCGGACCTCATTGCTCCGAAACAAAGAAAGATTCGTAAGAATCCTAAAGCTGGACTGCTACGGGCTTGGATGCTTTAGGCCGCGGTACGGACTGCCCACACCATTACAATTGCAATTAGGATTACTTACAGTTCGTTATATTTTTTAAGATGCGTGTGGCACTTGAAGTGAAAGAAATATTTCAGCTTTACTCGAAATAGCTTCGCAATAGCTTGATTCATTTGTGAATGTATGTGAATTTATGGAATATATTTTGGGCAAAGGCTCACATATACATATGCCTTGGCTCAGATACTAAATTCAAACATTACAGATGACATTTTTAGGCTTTGAACCAAGTCGAGCATGTCGAATTCTTACTGAAAATGTTGATTTTTGATGTGCAGTCTTTTCCACCGGTATCGTAATGCCCTTACGCTATTTCTAATACCCATCACCGAAACATGGAGATATGTTTAGTTTGGCAAAATCTTTGCAACGTCCTGATACAGTCGCTATACAGTATGCGTATTTCAAATTCTGTGTCGATGTGTTTATGTCCATACGTCCGGGCATATGCTTATATATATTGACCTCAAATTTAGCAAAAATATTGGATATCCTTTTATGTGGGCTGGCATTAAAATTGAGCTGAATCTGTTCAAGGGTACGCGCAGCGTACAACATCAACTGACATAGTTGCCAGTGTCAAAAGCAAAAAAAAAAAACAAATTGTAATTCATTGCTTCTAAAGCTACAACTGACAACGCGATAAAAGTTTTCATATCGATTCTATAGGCGATCGAAGAAAAGATGTAAAAAAATGGAAAACCCGGCCATGGCATGAGCAACATTATTGAGGATAGACTTTTAATTTTGTGAGGGGTTTGAATTTAAGTGATATGACGGTAAACAAAATTCCGTCTTAGTCGCATATAGTTTCGTTACTTGTTTCTCATTTTGCCTGACTGAACGACTACTCTTTAAGGTAAATTGAAAGAATTAAGAAACTTCAACAAGAACGCTTACCATATTGAATACATGGCGCGAAAACTCTGTGCATTTTCTTGCCACCTTTAAAGGAAAATGTAAAATCAATTAGTTGCCTAAATTTAATTTTTTTTTTTCTCTCAAATTATGGGTTTAATTTATTTTTTTTATTATTCGTGGAACGCAGCACTTAATTCCCGTCATATCAAATTTCATTTCTCATTAGTTTATATATGTTTTTGTTTCTCAAAAATCCTTGAAAAAGTTTATTGAACTTTGTCTTATAATTTTCTTTGGAAAAAGGCAAAGGAAAATAGAAAATTTTCCTTTTTTTTTTAGCATTAATACGGACTAAACAATCGTTTACATATAGGATTGCAAAATGCCATTAAATGACGTAAAGAATATTTTGTTTTGTTTGGCATAAGCAAATAGCAATTAGTGTCAAATAAAAAAAACTTATATTCAATGACACGTCTGTCTTAAAGGGGGCACAGTTAATAGGGGTTATCACTTACCGAAACAATTACTTAGTATTAGATATTCTTTGAAAACTTCAGCTTTATTATCGTTGAAAAGCTATCTCCATCACGCACGAACTTTTGGGATCGTTTTTCCTCAACATGATGCGCAAGAAATAAAAGTCAGACTGTGCAAAAACACAACTATTCTTGATCAGATTCGGTCGCATGAGATATCTGTTGCTGTTGTTTTTTTGCATATCAAAATATAATTACCTATAACGTAGAACTGATCTGAAGTATGGTACGTATGAAACGGTTTGAAAACTCCCATTAAGTTTGCACTTCTTTTTAACCTTTAATTTTGAATCGGAATAATATTGATGTCACTAACTAAACGTGGTCATCAATTCTAATTAGGAAGACTTCTTCTTCAGGAATTTTTGTAGACATTCAGGTAAATGTTAGAATCGCAGAAAATTTCCCGAAAATGCTCTGATTTATGGTTAAACGTTTGTTGATGTTAATTTTCTGTGATTACTGAAATTCAGGTGCTATGATAAAATGTGTGCTTGCTGTAAACCGACTTAATTACGGATATTGTTCGCTTTAGTGGTGGGTTCTCTTGCAGTCCTTTTTGGGAAAGCCTTTTCATTTTTACTTCAAACATTTTAACACAATATTCTTAAGAAGGCTTAAGCGTTACTTTCGCTTTGTAAAAACAAAACGTACAATATTTCTGTATTAATAGGTTTTTGCACAATATAGCTACAGACGCTTAAGTAACAAAAAAACAAATGAAAGCACAAGTTTTTCTCATAAAGCTATTGCTAACTATTTTATTTAAAAGGAAATTTGAGTCAATGCCAAACACGAATTTTTACGTATTTCTATGCTAGTGAGCTTCATTCGTTTTTTTAAATATTTATTTTCTTATGGGAAAATTGGAAAGAGTAGGGAAACGATGCTAAGATGGGGAGATGTTTATTTTAACATCTCAAGGAGGTTAAATAAAGAAGATCCGCCTGAGTTGCCGAGATGGCAAAAGGTTTCGGCTAAGAACTTATATGCTTCTGCTTTAAGACCTCTCAATCCTAGAATTTATTCTCTGGCTAAATTAATAATGATAAATTAACAAAGAATAAATAATAACATGGAAGAAGAGAACAGCAATAGATGAAATCAAATTGGAATGGAATAGCACTAAAAAAAGCCATGGAATGGGTATAGGATGGCAACAGAACAACGATAGAATAGCTCTCGAAGGGATAGATTAACCCTGCTCAAGCAACGGAGTATGGCAATAAATTAGCAATAGAATTGCAATAAAGTTGAAATAAAATAGCAATAGAATAGCGATAAATAGTCAAAGCGATGGTACAACAACAAAATAGAAATAGAACAGCCCTCGAACTGCAACCGATTGGCACTAGAATGGGAATGGAGTAGCAATAATAAAAAATAAAAACAATAAAATAGAATATCAATAGAATAGCGTTCGAAAATATGGAATGACCACAGAATAGCAAAGACTTAAAATAGCAACAAAGTGGCTTTAGCAATATAATATCAATAAAATTCAAATAAAAAAGAAATAAGTGTGTAGCAATAAATTAGTGACCAAATTGCAATAAAGTTAGACTAAAATTGCAACAAACTTGAAATACAGTAGCAATAAAATAGCATAGAATAACTGTAGAAAAGAAAAAGAAAGCAAGACATTGGCACTAGAATGGCGATAGAATAGCATAAAAAGAGATAGAATGGAATTTTAGCAACAAATTGGCTCCAGCTATAGAATCGCAAGAAAGTTGAAATAAAGTAGCAGTAAGATTGGAACAGCAATAAAGAGCATAAAATAGGAATAGAATAGCTCTCAAATACCAACAGGTTGCCGCTGCAATAGCAATAGAGTAGACGTGCTATAAAAAAAAATGGCAACAGAATAACAGTAAGAGAAATAGAATAGGAATATAGAATAGCGATGGAATAGCAACAGAATTGCGATCGAATAGCAAAATAATAGAATGAAAAGAGTGTGAGGTACTGGGATAGCAATAGATTTGCAATAACATTTGAGTAAGATATTCTATAAACCAAAAAAAAGCCAGTTGGATAATAACGGAATAGAAACAAAATACAACAATAGAATACTCATGGAATAGCCAGAGGAAAACCGTGAAGCGAACAGCTTCCCATCAACCAATTGTAATTTTTTTCATTGCGATGTTTTCGGGTTATTATCCAAAGCGCCACAACCATAAGTATATAGGATAAGCAATCATAACCGTTATTAACAAACATTTCAAAACTTCATGAAACAAAATATTATTGTTAGCTCTTCGCTTCATCCTAACGAAACGAAAAATTGTGCCACTTTGGCAAAAGGCTTTGACTTGAGGTGTCCTTCTTCGTCCCTTGTAATGAGGGCGACCAAGTTTCTTGAACGAATATGTACAGCTTTCAGATCTTATATCATTTAAATCGATGACAGTCAGAAATAATCTTCTCCAAAATTGTGTTTGGTATACAAATAAATATATTTTTATATTGTAACAAGCAAGAAAATGGTAAATAAAATCCAAACATAGTAAAAAAAAAAAAAAACAATTGTTATTATTATTGTAATCAATTCAGCCAGAGAATTAAATTCTAAGATAAAATTCCGCCGCTAAGCCGCTCAGCCGAATTTCTAATAATTTAATTATTTTAAAGCTTATATTAATAATTTATTATTATATATGGTATATTTTATGTTGTATATTATACGTCATACGTTATATATTATTATTATATATATCATTGATAGCTTATATATTTATTAGCTATAAAGGTTATCGTAATTAAAGAAAATGAAGTCAAGAGAAAAAGTTTGTTTATTTAAGTAAATACAAATTTGAAGAGTTTGAAAATTGATCCTTTGTGAATATAAAGAAACATCTTGCCTTTCTTGAGCATTCCAAAGCAATCTAACCAGTTCTCTTAAAACATAAGTGACGTGGAGCTCAATACCTCAAAGTTTCTTGTTTTCATTCTATTTATTAACACGTTCGCGGACAGTAAAAGTTTCGGGGACGTCCAAAAATTGGCTGCCAATTTTCGGTGATGTCCGAACTGTGAATAAAAACATTTTGTAAAGGTAACCATAATATAATTGTATATATACAATGAATGCCAAAGCATTCAGGTCAAATTCTTCTAAAAGTTTTCTACAATAATGCCACTTGGAGGAAGATAGAAATAGTTTTCATTTTTTGAAAAAGTTTTTAACATTTTGACGAATCTGAAAAGCGTGACCAAAAAAAACACATCGCAACTTTTTCCTTTTTCCACAAAAACCATGGAGACGTAGTAATGCCTTTGAAATTCTTGTATGCTTTACTAATGCTCTATAGAAAAAAAATCTCATATTTTATTAAAGAATTAATAATTTTTCTTTCCCTTTTTCTTTTTCAACATATTCTTCGTTTTCCATAACCCTATATATAGCAAATGAAGATGCTTAAAATAGATCCTATGATTGATGATGTGGGCGGTTTAAAAGGTAATATATCACTGAATTCACCAGATTCATGCCTGGTGCGTTCCGTCAGTAATAGTCCGACACAATTCTCCCCAAAACCAATTTCGATGTTGCGCAACTATCATCAAAATCCTATGATAGGCGGACCGTGTATGCTAGCCTCGCCGACATTAACGATTAATAATAACAATTGTCAAGTGATGCCATCAGAATTACCGATTATTACTGGCAGCGTCAATGATGTCACTCGTGGTAGCGGCATGGATGACATCAACATGAATGACGACAATCTTTGTCCATTAAAGGATTCGTTTGATTTAAAAGGAATCCCAGACTCCTTTTCCGATAACAATATAATGCTCAATCCCGTAAAAGAGTACGAAAAATCTCTCGTAACTGATAAAAATGAATTAACCCCGTTCACAATGCTTAATGGCCAACCACCGCCTCTTGAAAATACAATGCAATTTAAAGACGATGCTATCATTAACGGTGACAATATACGAAGTATTGTCGCTAACGACGATAATCTTGATAAAAGCAAACATTCGAGATCATTAATCGATAATAATAACCCATTAATGAGTCCATTCCTAATGGATCTGTGTAGCGATGATTATCACATGAATACCGATGAATATTTAAAGGAAAGCGATATTGAAATTGTGCTCAACGAATGGCCAACTGAATTGGTTTAATCAGCAATAAAGATATTACATAAGTGTATACATAAATGCACATCAAATATATATTATTCTTAAATGCTATGAATTTTTTGTCAAATTTTGAAAAATATTATTTTTAGTGAAAATAATTAAAAATAAAAACTTTTCCTTTAATTTTTTTTATTTTTTTTTTTATGCAAATTTAATTTTACATTTCACAAAACTTTTAACAAGGCTTTTAATAAAATGTACTTTTTGCAATTTTTCATTGTCTTTCATTGAAAATGTTAAACATTAAAAGTTAAAGTGGAAAATCGCCGTACAATTGCAATAAGTAGTTTATCGAAGAAAACACTGTTAAAAATTACTGCAATTTATTACACCTGCCTCTGGTTTAACGCGATTGGATTTTCTTCAAAAGCCAAACAAATCGAAAACGTGGCAATAAATAGATCAAAATTGTTTTTATAGTGGTTTTGTCTGAACCAAATTTCAAATTGATTTTTCTAAGGATCCATACATTGTTAGAAAGCGTTTTTTTCTTGATTTCTATCGCGGCCCACTTACCGCAGTAAATCAAATTTCGCTTTTCTATTCAATTTCAACTCTACCAAAAAAATGATAAATAGACGGACATGAATATATCGACTCGGAATCTCATGTTGAGCTAAAATATATGTATATTTTATATATATACATATATATGCTATGATCAGAATAATAAAATTTTCTCGGATAGGTGTAAATCTGTAATAAATATTTTATTAAGCAGTAGATGTGCCAAATTACAATTAACAAGAAACTTTTATTTTACTCTATAATAATTAAGAAAGATAATAACACTAAAGCCTTACGGTACTTTTTTAACAGTGTTCAAGACTTACCAGCGCTGTTATACTGCGTTTTTATAATCAAAGATTCTTTTAATTGATAGAAAAAACAAGAAAATATGTTTAGCGAACAATGTAAAATATTTTTGACTTAAATGACTGGTGAAGGATTCATTTTTATAATTTTTTTTTTTTTGCTTTTGTCAGAAGCATTTCAACTATAATTATTCTGTAATAATACTTTTTATTATATTTTGTAGATTTATGTTACTTTTTGACAATTTAAAAATATCTCGGCTTTTTTGTATGCATTTTTTTTATTTGTCACTATTTTCCAACACATACCCACCAATAGGAGACTTTACGAAAATTCTTCTTTACAACGCCTGTAAAACTCAGAAACCATATTGTTAACCTGTCTATTTCGAAAATAATTTTCGAGGAGATCTACCTTAGATTTTTCTATTATATATTTCAAAAAACAGCGCAGTTTTATCTGTTTTCATTATGTAGGTGATTTTACTTCTATTCTTGCAATTTTCCGATTTGAAGTGATAATTGTCCTAATAATGCATTTATTTTACTTTTGGAATTCCGACTGCTACTTTTAATATATATAATGGTTTTACTAATATTCTGAGTGAGTTCTGTAGAGAACTTATGGACCTAACTAGGTTGATTATTTCGCCGTGAATTTTGTTGCTGCTTATGGGATAAAAAAATATGGCTATACTTTTGGAACCCAAACTGATAGCTTTAATACAGATAAACGATTTGGTAACATTCTGAGCAATGTCTGCAGAGAACTTAGAGACAGGTAAGTGGACGATTGAGCTATACTTGGCTCATTGTATCGCCGTGAATTCTTTAGTTGCCTACTTTATATGAAATATAGTAGCCTAAATGTCTGTGATTTGTAGTTAGCCTAACTTTTCTCGGACGAAAAATCCCAAAATATGGAAAGGGGACATACCTGTGCTGAACTTTTTACTTAAAATATAACTTGCAAATGAAAGTAGCTGAAGAAACGGGAAGAAGCAAAAACTGATTTCATTTCAGCCGCCCACTCAATGAGTCAAGTTACGTAAAGAAAAACACTGCAAAGTTTACAGTTCCTTTCCTATATTAAACTTTCTTGCTGTTTAACAAGTTGGATAAGTTGCTAGTGTTTATGTCCAATTTTCTTAGATACCGCCAAACGAATAGTAAAAAATTATGCGATTTTTATTATTTTAACCCATATACATAGGCATACCGGCATGGACTGTTAAATCAATTTTTGAAGCCGTTCATTAAAGACACGAAAGAGGAAAACATCTCCAGAGAGGTATTAAAAATCTATGACTTAGTTGGTGGGTATAATCCGTTCGGTCAAGGCCGAATAAATTTTAAATTTTGTTTTAAACATTAGCTAAATATTTTATTTTTGTTCACAATTCAAAGCAGCTGCTTTAGTTTTTCAAAATCCATATAACGTTTTACTATAATTTTTTTTAATAATGTACGAAATAAAAAACAGAAAATGTTTCTAATTAATAAAATGTAAGTAAATTAGGAATTTATTAAATACTTCGCATTTGCGATTTATGAGTTTTATTTTTAAAATTATAGAAGAAGCGACGTAAGTATAAGGCTTCTAACCAGTATTACTTGCCACAGTTTTTGGTTAATAAGATACTCATCTAGGAGAAATTCCCAATTGATGTATTTAAAGTTGACAAAATTAGTGGAGGATGAAGTAGAAGCGAACAGAATCATGGAGCGTAGATGAAGGCGAATCTTTTTGAATACTTCTGGAAGCCAATACATATAAAATTCCAAGCGTTTCGTGAGTCGGTTTAGATTTTTCACACGACTTCAAGTAAATGGTAAATTATCGCCGATCATATAACCTTTATTGAAATATATCTTCCTTTCGATTTTGTAGTAATTTTGCGGACCTGTGACATCCGTTTTCAAACCCAGCCTATGGAATTAAATTAAGCCAGTGAAATACCAGCTAGGTAAATATGAAACCGAGAATAAGCGAATAGGCATTCGTATTACCAACACACAGTGCGATTTGAAAACTTTCTTTCTAACAACGACAATGTCGAACTTTGCACCAAATTAACAACATCCGCCGGTAGCTGTTAACTCTCTGCCCAAACGATCCAAAAGAAAATCTATTTTGAAAACCTCATTCGCAGCGACTAGGTAGATCAAGGCGTATCATCTACTAATTCAACTGTGAGACTGAATCGCTTTGGCAGGAAGACAATGTCACAATAAAAGCATTAGGCCAATCGCAACGGACTTGAAAAATTTTGTAAAAATTTAATTGGATTCGCCTGCACTGCCAGTTAGGCAAAGAATCTTGATCAACAACTCAATAGTCGGGAATTCAAATCTCAATTGCGGCAAAATTTTTTCTAATAAATCCAATGTTGGATGTTAGTGCTTTCAGACTTTAGTCTTAGAATTTATTTGTCTGGCTGAATTAATAATAATAAAAATACATCACGTGAATTGTCTTTTTTCTTTCTGATTCTCTGGTTGATTTCTGCAATTGGTAGAAGCGTTTGTATTCCCGATTTAATGTCATTTTGCGTAGATGTCGAAGGATTTACAAGGAAGATATTGCTTGAGACATGGTAAGGATATGAGATTGATATTTTCAGTATCATTTATTTGAAAAATGCAGACGTTCCTGCCGTAGTAAAGTGCTTCGTAAATCCTTGGTACCAAGAACTCTGAATATTATTTCAATATCCTCCTTACGTGTACCCCGCAAATATATGTACCCAAAATTTTATAACAGAAGTTGATTATCAACTGAAGTATACCTTGCAGATAGTCAGAGATAATCGTAAATAAATTCCAACGTCGGAAAATTTTAATGAATCCTCTCGTTTTCAGTTCACTGACTATGATGATGCCTAAAGAAATAAATCAGCAGAACGTAATAGTTGAAAAAAGATTCCTTTGCGTTGCTTCTATGGTCCTTTATTCCAGATAAAAGGTTAAGAGTAAATTGAACATGAAGTTAAGACGTCAAAGTCCGGCAAAGTCGTTAACCCTCATCACCTCTTCTAATATAACTTTTTACTTCTCTTCGCCATAAAATGTCAGAAATTATGCTTTCGCTGAGAACTTTTTACATACAGGGACCCAAAAAAGGGGTTTTTTAATCCAAATTTAGTCCAAGCAAAAAATGTTATCGGTAAAATCACACGAATTTCCATCGGAAAGTTTAGTTCTCAGTGACCTATAACTTCATTGCTATACAAAAACTTATTCGTTTATAAGAGGAAATCTATATGGAATTAGCTTCAAAATCGGTTTCATCCAACTTATACATACGTACAATTTACTACGCACTTCACTTGTCTTTGTATTTCCGACTGTGAATACCAATTTATCAAAGTTCCCAACTTGAGAATCTGACATAAACGTATTAGCACAATAACAGCGCAGCGGAGCAAGTTCAGAACCTTGCGAAATTTGATCATAACTTTTATTAAAGAAGCTGTACTCATTATAGTTATTTTAGCTTTATTTCCAGAATGAGACAAAAAGTTCAACATATGCGAGGATCATGACGATAACAAGTATCACCGCATGGGTCATAGGGCAAGCATGGTCCGCACGGACCGCACGGACCACACGGAGCGCACGGATCACATGGCTTGCCGCGACGATCAATCATACAGAGTATTGGCGGTGGGCCTTCCATCAAATTCTTCTTTCTGTTAAAAATATTAACGAAAAGCCATTAATATTAAAATAATTAAGAACACGATAATTCGCCGTAGAGCGAACTACGTATACCCATCGCCTAGGTAAGCTTAAATATGTAAATTTAATTTATCATCTTTTAAACATCTTCAGACAATGTGCATTGCGCACAAAGAAGACTCATTTTCTGATTTTCTCTAATCCTAGGCGAACCCACAAGACCTATTTAGTAGTTTTTTGGATTTAACTTCAAAATGATAAAGAAAAATAAATTTATGATCAAAACTGGTATGACTTAAAATTGTAAAATCAATCAGTTTCAAGCGGACTAAACCGATTCTGATTGCCACGTCGATGAACAATATCGTTAGAATTGAAAATGATAGATATCATCTCTCTGTATATCATAGCCAAACAGACAGAAATTCGGTAATCCCTTAATCCTGGACGGTGGGTATTAAATGTGGTCAACGAATTACTTCGATTTGCCGCCGGCCGCTTTCTCTTTTTTGGCTTTCTCCAGAATATATTTCATCATATCGACTTTGCCGTCACCTTTTCCGCCACCCTTATGGCGTCCTCCTTTTCCGTCAGGTCCCCCATCTGGGCCGCCTGGACCTCCAGGACCCCCAGGACCACCAGGACCTCCGAAACCTCCAGGACCACCGAAACCTCCAGGACCTCCGAAACCTCCAGGACCACCTCTGCCGCCGAACGGCCCGCGGCCACCACCAGGGCCGAAACCGGGGCCAAACCTACCCCCAAATTTTCCTCCTCCTTTTCCTCCTCCTCTTCCTCCAAAACCACCGCCACCTCCTCCCCCGCCTTCACCACCGGTACCCCAACCTCCTCCTCGTCCTCCAAAACCACCACCCGGCCCACATGGCCCGTAAAGGCCGCCAGGAAGAGGCGAGGCACCGGGATAATAACCATCAGGACCATAGGGGCCAAAAGCTTTACCAAATCTTTCACCAATTGCACAATTGTAAAGCTTCATGTATTTGTTAGGCTCACGAGGATACATCGGCGTCACATTCCAATCGCCTTCGTTGTATTGCGTTCCATGATTGACCAAATCCGGTTTTTTTCCTTTTTCCGGTTTTATTACGCCTGCTGGAGGTGTGACACCGAAATCAAATTCGACATCGCTATCAGTGGTATCGGATAGAACCAACTTGTCGGCGACATTGGGTAAGTTACGTTTTCGGCACTCTTTATTGCACTGATATTCTAATCTTTTCTTGTCTAGAAAGCTGCGACAAAAACAGCAAATAATCGGTTTATGACAAGTGCATTTACTAAAACCCATATCTTTGAGACAGCGTTTCAGCTTACGTATCTCCACCATTAAAGGATTTTTAATAATTTTGAATTGAATTGGTTTCATGTCTAAGTATGGATCAGCGCATTGTTTTAAAGCTTCCGGATCTTTCAATGGTCGCATCGTTATTATATACTCGCCATTTTTCTTAAATATGTGCAGTGTCGGTCTTTGGACTAATTCGTCCACTTTTTCTTTGCCGTTGCAACCTTTTTTACGATAAGAATACTGCGACACTCTCAACGTATCAGCGGGATAATCTTTGAGGAAATATTTCATCAGCTCTTTGATAGGTTTACGTATAGCACCAGGTTTCCAGCCAGCTCTACTGCCTTTAGCCTCGACATTCCATAACCAACCCATATTAGAAGGAACATTTTTGCGACCTGCAGCGAAGCCATTTACACAAGTTTTATGGCCAATTTGATTGCCTGGATATTTGCGTACGGTTCGATAATTGTAGCTAGAAACAAGAAATGGGAAATGGTATTCAAAATGAAGGCGCCCCCTTTTCTTTCCTTCCCTACTTACTTTTTACTTTTGCAAGGTTTTTCAGATTTCTTGAAATTTTTCTGCAAAAACTTTTTTCGAATTCGTTCGACCTCTTGATGTTTCTTACGCTCTTCTCTTCTTAAACGTTTTCTCAATGCTCGATTTACTTCTTCAATACTTTGCTGTGCCTCAATCTTATTGTCATCCGCTTGTTCGGCAGTGGTACTCGTAGCAGTAACAGTGAAATTGCTACGAGCGCTTTTATCGCCATCTGATCTGCCGCTTCGAGCACGTGATCCCTTATTAATATTTCGCTTCGCACGTTCAGTAAATTGCCTTTCACATTTTTCGTTTTTCTCGAACTTTTTCTTCTTAGTTTCTTTTATATCGTAAAGATCACGTAACTCGGAAAATACTCGAGCTAAATAAGGTCGACAATCGTCACCGATTCCCGCCCCACTTTGACATATATTATATAATTCGGACGATTGGCGTTCACATTTATCGCATTGTTCGCCTTGCTTTGGTTCAGGTTGAAAAATATCTTCGCATAGTTTACGGATACGGCAATGAGCACATACTTTGCCCGGTTTACACGTGCAGCGGCATTGTTTTTTCTCCTCGGATCCGTCTTTAGAATGTTGATCAATACTGTCGCTACAACTGGATTTCTTATCTAAATACTCTTCTAATACCTCTTCGGCACATATTCGCTCATTGTAAGCCTTTTCATCGAAATATGGTATCGGCTTGTAACCGCATTTCGGACAAGCGGCCATTTTCGGCAGCCAGGAAACGTCTTCTTTGCAAAGAGGACATGTCCTAATTACAAAAAAACTTTTTAAAAATATCTTCAAGGTCGGTTAAGTCCTTCGACACCTACCTTTTTGAACGTGGAACAGTCTGCCTAAGTTCGGGTGCAGTTAAGCTAGGGCACAATCGTACTACTTTTTCGGCAGCGAAAGGATCTTCTCCTGACGGACAACGACAATTGCGAAAATTCGATTCTGAAGGAACAGAAAATAAATAAATAAATATTCGTTTGTTTATATATATATATATATATATATATATATAACTTGTTTGCGGAAACATGAAATTTATTGATTATTCAATTTTTTTTTTTTATAAAAATTGTTTTTTTTCGAATTTAGTATGACCGTTTATGTGGGCAGTTATAATAGGCCGGTAGATCGCAAATGGTACATTTTTTTTCACTAGATTTACTCCGACCGCAAACAACACAAAATTTTCCACCGCTACAACTCGAATCGCGAACTTTACATTTATTTTCGCAGGGATTACGCGAAGAACTACCTGAACTGCTGCAAAGTGGCATGCTCCTGTGTTGGGTTGGTTGATGGCTAGTATGCTTACGCCGTGGACAACAAGATGTCTCAATTGAATCCAAACCGCTGATCAAATCTTTATATTGCTCCCTTACTTTCTAAAAAGTGAAATGTCTTTAGTTATGACATTAAATGCCTTTGTCAATTGCTTACTTGTCCCTGGTTACAATTGCCATTGTTGAGACTATCTAAGATATCCGGCGAAGTTACGGTTCTACCATTAACCTTACGAAAATTTGATAAATCCAAACAGGTCGGGTACACAGATTTTTCCGAATCTGATGCCGGTATAACGCCAACCTGGGCGCAACAGCAAGCCGACTTGTCTTCCCCAACGACAAAAAGAATATCATTCGCATCGATTACTTTATCCATTTGAGAGCAAATATCCGAACGTTTGGAGAGATTATAATCGGGGTCACTGCATATTATGCACCATGATAAAAATAAAAAGAGGAGAGAGTAAGAGTAAAGGAAATGAATAACAGTGTAGCAAAAGAATGTAGTAAAAATGTGTATAAGAAAAGCAAACGACCTTTCACGAAAAGATTATCGTTATGGTACAGGAATACTGATAAAAATCAATTAATTAAAGGTATAGATACTATTTGGTCGTTCCTTGGAACTTATTCATTATGTATCAGTTCAAAGTGAAATATTTTGCTTAAGGAATTTTTTAAGCATGAATGTGTTCGAAACGTTCCTACTGGTAAAAAAGAATGAACAAAATCGGCACATTTCGGTAAACTTCTGATTCGTAATTAGATAATTGAAGCCTTTGAAGCTATTTGCCGTAGCTCTGTTTCGATAAAAATGTTTTGTGCCAGAACTATTCGAAATATCATATGAGAAATAATCCTCTTTAAAAATTTAGCTCTTTTAAGAACTCTTCTGGAAATGTTTCAATATTGATAGCAGTATTGCATTCGATTGTATATCTTGTAATATATAGGTTTACTTACACGTAATCCTTGCATTTCGTTTGAATACGAATGATAACCTCTATGGAACCCGTTTTACTACCGCGGCCATCTTTTAGCTCTGTCTCATCGCAATGTGTTATTTCTCCAGCACAATCATTTATTCGGCTAGTAAATGTATCAGGCCAAACTATTTGCCCGGTTCCTATTGTTATAATTGCATTAGATATTAAAAAATTTCATTCCAAATACTGCATATATATAAATCGATCGTGTTAATGATACTTACCAATCACACGATCTTCATATTTCACCGCCAAAGCTAAAGGTTGTTTTCTCAGTTGCTCTTTTAAATTCAATGGGGTATCGATGAATTCGTAACTACGTCCGGAACGAAACTCTACTACATTAATACGACTGGACGTAATCTTCAAATCAACATTATTAAATTTGACGTCAACTGTTAGTAAATCCGGTTTTGCAAATGTTTCATTGGGTACATCGACACGCACGACAATAATGTCAAATACAAAGCCTATTCCGTCTTTTTTACTTTTAGCTTTAGCGTCGGCACCCGACTGTGAAGCTCTTGCAGCAGCGGAAGATCGCAGTGGGCCTGTGCTTCCAGCAACACCTAAACCGCCGCCGCCAGCAACTCCAGTTTTCAAATCCATGTTTTAATGCCAAAGATTTCTTAACCAATTCAATAATTTTTTTTTGATAAGGAAAAATTCGAAATGATCCAAGGATTTCATACAAGTTGGATTAAGTTTCGGAATTTTTTCGTTTTACTTTTTTTGGAGATTTGTTTGTATGATTTTGTTTTCGCGTAATTGCGCAATGCGAAAAAGTTGTTAAAAAGAAATATATTTATAGAATTTTCTAAAAAAAAAACCGAAAAGTTTCAATTAAATTATGAAAAAGTTTTCTAAAATTTGTAGAAAATCTGAAGAACATTGGTTGACGGAAATTTCAAAGATTATTATTATTCTTCAAAAGAATTTGTTTTCATTTTGTAACAAATTTCGAAGCAAAGTGTTCTTCATATACCCTTTGATAAGTTTTAGAAATTTATATAACTCTTTTTTCATAAACATTTTTAAAATAAGAGAAAAGTAGTTGAAGACTAATACAAATCGGGATATTCGGGCAAGGCCAAGCATTATGTACACCATTTCGCCCAATACGGTTACTCACTCGTTTCGGTACTAGTACATCAAAAATGACGCATGATTTTCCTCTGCACTTTTCATCAGGACCCGAATATTGGGGCGTGTCCAAAACATCATATGACGTGATCCAAATTAACAAACTTAATTTACTTCCTAAAAATTTGATCAATTTTCAGTTTCCGTCATAAAAAACTGAAAATTTGTCGTCAAGCCAAGGGTTTGTCTTTCATTATAGCTGCTCCGTTTGTGGGAGGATGAAAATAGACCTATGTGATACAAATTCCCTAATACTATTGATTAATTTTCATTCGAAAATATAGAAATTAAAGCTTTTGCTGAAGCTTTTTCTGATTCACGAGAAATATTATACGAAGTGGGGTCAAAACCCAATCATCCGCTTACCCAATTTCATCGAAATATCTCAAACATTGGAACCTGTACGTTGAACACAAGAATACATGGAATACACCATGTAGCGGAATTAGTGTAGGTTGTAAATAGAATTTGGAAAAAACAAGGAAAGTCAGGATGTTAAGTAAAATTTTGCAAAGGTAAATTAGAAATTAATTTTTGTGTTTCGGATCATCGGCAAAGTTTTGTCAGACCGCTTCCATCTGCATACCATAATCATGATTAAGCAAATTTATAACATTCATCAGGTGACCTTCAATTCGTTATCAAAAAAGCAAAGTGTGAATGCTTTTTAAATAACAACAAATTTTCTCAGTTTTGGAACATCGCTCTGCAGAGAAAAGAAACCATGTTAGAAAGTTACCTTGTGGAAAACATAAGTCGCCAATCGAATTATAAAAAAGCTCATTGAAGGCTTAAAGAATATCCACCCAGCTGCGCTTAGCATTCTTCTATTCTCGTCCTAATATTGATAAGTTATATTAGCTTTGATGAGGTGAAAGATCGTATAAAGAACTTTGATAACTAAATGTTCTATAATCACTTACAAAACTCTTATATATATATTTTTTTCTTTACTTGCAAAGATAATAGAGAAAGCATTTAAAAAATTTTATAAAATATAATCAAATTTCTGCAACATTTTTTTTAAAACAATAACTTGTAAAAATAAAGAAGAATTTGCGCATTGTAGAGCTAGATTAGGTGGTTTGTTCATTGTTTGGCATTTATAATGTCAATAAATTCGGGTTTCAAAGAGGCACCGCCCACAAGAAAACCATCAATATCAGGTTTGGCAGCTAACTCTTTACAATTGGCAGCTGTAACCGAGCCACCATATTGTATACGTAAGCTATCGGAGACTTCTTTGGAAACATTCTCCGTTAACCATTTACGTAAAAATGCATGAACATCTTGAGCCTAAATAAAAATTGAAAACAAAAATAAAATTCTCTTATTACGATTACTCTTTTTAAACAAAAAAAAAAAAAAAAAACAAAATTACCTGGTCCGGTGTAGCTGTTTTTCCCGTTCCAATCGCCCAAACTGGCTCGTACGCTACCACTACTTTCGACCAATCTTTAACAGTTTTAGCATAAGCAGCCATTTGACAAGCTACTACTTGTTCTGTTTTTTCAGCTTCGCGTTCATCCAATTTCTCACCAATGCAAGCAATCACGCTTAGACCTTCATCCAAGGCATGGGCTGCTTTTTCAGCAATTAACTCATCGCTTTCATTGAAAACATGCCGACGTTCCGAATGTCCAAGAATTACCCAATTTGCACCGACATCTTTTAACATTGCTGGCGATATTTCCCCGGTAAAAGCCCCTTTTGCTATTTTATAGCAATTTTGTCCAGCAATATGAAAATTAGATGGGAATAGTTCGCGAACATAGCTAATGTAAACAAACGGACAGCCCAAAATGACTTCGGTATTCTCATTTAGTTTCGCTCCAGACAAGTTCTTACATATTTCAGAAATAGCATTCTTATCCCCATTCATTTTCCAATTGCCACCAACACAAAATTTACGCGACATCTTCCCCTTTTTATTACAATCAACAGCAAACAAACGATTTCCCTGCTAAAGATAAATTAAAAGATTGATTATTATTCAATTCGAACTATAATTAAACATCTTGAGCACCTTCTTTCAAGCTTTTTTCCTTTTTCTTGGATATGGAATGAGAACTGGCTTTTATTTTAACTTATGGCTATCAGGTTCCAAGAGTAAAGGCTACGTTGTAAATAACTTTTAAATGACCTTGTCGAATACTATTCACTAAACAATTGCAGCTGTTTTGTTTCTTTCTTTAAATACCATTCACAATAACAAAGACCTCGTTATAGCGAAGCACAGCAAAAAGTGCTGCCAAATGATGAATTACACATGCTTACGTATCGCAAAGTTTTTGTTGCTATTTAGTATTGTTTCCCGGAAAACTAAAGATTCTTGGGTTTCCCTTTGATATTTCAGTAAAATAAGAAGCAAGTTTTTTAATAGAAATCCTTAATTTATTTTTAAGTGGAATGTGATATCTTCATGACTGACTATAGGCGAATATGAAAGTAACTGTTATTGTAAGTATACACACATTTGGCAATCTTACCGCAACATTCCAACTTAGACCGTTTGATTTTGAGATTTTGGTCTTATTATATTTAAGAAGAAATCCGCACGCTGTTCTTGTTGATTTGTTAAGCAAATCCATTCAAGCAATATTTCGCACACGTAATTTGAAATTATTGTTCTGGCTTATACAAATTTAATTAAATTGCCTGATGATGAGCAAGAAGACAAGACAAAAATGTCTATATATATATATATTTCTTTTTTTTTTGGCTGACAATTTTAAAAAATTTCGTTTCACAACAGTTTAGGTGATTTAGGTGGTTTATCGTCTGGAATCTTGCTTTATCTAAAATTGCCTTATGGTGATACAATCTCAGCATTGATCAGCATTGAAATCACGTGCTTCGATATATTTAGAAAAGCTTTGTTTTCTTTGCAAACTTCATTCCACTTTTGGTAATGAAAATTGTGAGTAAATGCAATAAACGTTTTTTTTTACGAAGAGGTGGCATTAAAAAATATGAAAAAAATTGAGAGTTCCGTGTAGAAGTTGAAATGAAAAAATTGGTGAACAATTTCATCAATTTAACTTTTCATGTCCGTTAGCTCACTTTTGCAGTGATCTTTTATATCAGATGTGCAAATGACATCTTATCCCGTCCCCCAATTTTCCCAAATCATTTTTCGAACTATTTCCCGATTTTCTAAGCGCTTCTCAAAAAGACCGTTGGAAAATCTACGAAAAAAGACGTCATCTGACCACTGGCCACTCTACTGGTTTATCTGGAAGGTCTAAAGACAGACACACGTGTCAATATTTTAGTAATTGATTTATAAAGAAATTAACCTTACCGAATTTAGACCGCATAAGTGCGTATTTTGGATACTACTGCATATAAGGACTGTGAGGATATGTAAACACTTATATGGCAAAAGGGCCTAATTGTTAATGTTTTATGATCAAAATTTGTTCATGATAGTTATTTAATATAAAATTTAAGTAGATCGAAATTGAGCAACCTGGGTTTATTTCTTTGATCCGACTGTCTACAAAATTTTTCATGAATCGCAAGTAGAAAAAGATTTAATTTTTTATTTTTTTCTGATGGAAAATGAGGCATAGTAGTAATTTGGCAAAAATAATTAAGGATAGGGAATTTGGATCACAAAGGTTAATTTTCAGGCTCCTACAAATATAAGAGTTATAATGGAAAGCTTACCGTTATATGGAGAAAAAGTATAATATCTAATTTTCTACAATGGAAACTGAAACATAATAAAATTTTTGGAAAGTTCAATGTATTTGTTAAATTTTGACTACGACCCCTAAGAAAAGTGTGCCTTTACATGAAAATAATGTGCACTTTTTGACGTATTTTGACCTATAATAGGCGAATTAGAGCAGGGTATTTAATGGTCGGCCTTGCCGAACTATAACGATGTTAGTTGTTTTTTAATGAATATATTTAAAGATTTTCGCTTTAACTCTTTAAGTGTTCCTGAACGTTATGCTTGTGCTCTACTCTCAGGGTCTTCACATTCTTCTAATATTCCATTTGCAATCCCTTTCGAAATTATAAATTGTATTACATTATATATGTAATATAAATTGTTTATTCATTGTGTTGTAATAATGAAAACACACATAGATTAGCAAAAGTAAAAAGACTTAAGTAAGAAGATCACTGCTTCATCGAAACTCCTTAGTTTTTCATTAAAGACCGGACTTCGCCTGTCCGCACACATGCGCACAAATGTCTGATCTTGATAGATCAATGTGTTTTCAAGGTCATTTTTTCACACATACAAAAGCTCTATTCTTTGTTGCTCTTGTACAGTTTGCCATCTTTAAGTGAAATCTTTATTCAAAAGCGTATAAAATGAAAATGGTTTTAAATTACAATTGGATCCAAAAAGTCGCATTCAATAAAGGCGGGAGACAGTTTCTGTGAAGCTAAAAAAAAAGAAAAACATTTTACTACAAACGTTATAATATTTGTGCTAAGAAAAGCAAACCGTGCATGAGCAACAAACCGGAAGAAGTTGTTTACTACACACTATTTAAATATTATGTACAGAGAAAGTGTTATGTTACCGCACTTTACTTGAGCAATTTGAGCAAGTGGAATCGAATTCGCTGCACCCTATTTATAGAAATTGTATTTAATTATTCCCTAATAAAGTCAAGGCCTTTTTACCTATGCGCTGACAAATTTAATTTGCTAATTTTGGTGAGATTAACTCAACTCAATTGTATGCAAAAACAAAGTGTACTTAACGCTTATTTATCTTTTATATGCTTAACAATTATTATGTATATATTTGTGTGCGCTAAGAGACTTGTAAGTCAATGGTTCATCATTATCATCTCATATATTTTCTCATCTCAACAATTAATTGCTAAATATTTATATGTATTTATAAATATAAAAATATTCATTGAAAAGTTCGTAGAGCGAGAAACGACGGAAAACAGTTGAGGATATATAATTCAATCCAAATCATTTCCGTCCACTGCATTGAGGCGAAATTTCCATAGCTTGAGGAGCTTCCAACTTCAGTCAGCAAGCTAGCGTTCGCGCACGGCGAAGGGCTATGAAGACCATTGGGTGACGAGAGAACGTTGTCACTATTTTCGATACTCTTGAGTATCGACATAACGTGGGCTATGCTATGCTTTTGTATAAGTGTCTCCTTTGTGAGTGCAAGTGTTTCACAAATCTGTCGCCCAATGAAGCCAAATTGTTCAACGCGCTTTCTCATCCTTTCGCCTTGGAGTTGTCCATACACAGCAGGACACACTAGCGCGACTTTTTTTTCTTTACATGCGCTGTCGCCCTGGAGACGGCCTATCTGGGGTGGTTTTCTCGACATCCCAAAGGCTTTTCTCCGAAAGAAGAAAGTTTTTGAAAGAAAAATCATCATTAAATAAATTATGTATAAAATTGACGACGAGAGTATATTAAGCTTAAAGTTATAAAAAATAAATTTGTTTATGCCAGGTCAAGCAAACATTTATGCCCTACAAAGCTTCTACGCCTGTAAGCAAAATCAAGGAAGACTTTAAAAATAAGCTTTTATAATATCCCAACTGATTCCGAATCCGATTTTCTCAAAATATTTAAGACTTTCTGCCCATTTGTGATGAGTTGATTTTTCAGACTACTATCCATATAAAGCCTTACTTTCGTCCCTTCCATATTTCCAATTTTAATACGTCTACGCAAAAATCGGTGAAGGACAGTATTCTGAAATACTAAATGAATATGGGTTGGGACCATTTCTGAAATACACTTCAAAAAAATGTTCTTAGAAAAATTAGGATTTTATACGTCAACGAGATGAAATTTTTAAAATTTTATTATCATACTCACATCCACTTTGGACTAGGTCTACTTTTTACCTTACCTGTGTTCTTCTAAACTACAAGCCTTTACAAAGCAACAAACTATCATTTGAGATGTTGTATCAGGAAGATAAGTGAACAAATATATATTATAGAGGAAATGTTAGGTTATTTAAAAAATGGCGTTATGCAACATTTCGAAAGAATTTATAGCATTTCCAAATGAGTATAGTATTTTGAAAAGGCTCCAAAAAGGCATAAGAATGAAAAAAATATATATATGTATATATATATATATATATAGAGATTAAAATCATTTATGGCTATAACTATTTTATACATATTGAAGGCTTTTATCGGAACTACAAACACATGCTTTAAAGACCTTCAGCAAATCAGTTAAAAAGTAATAAAAAGTATTAAGCTTGACAAAGAATATACGCAAAAATGAAATCAGAGTAAAATTATTTTCTATCATCACGAGCGAGCGAATCTATAAACTTTTCAATTAACATGACATGTACACTGATGTGCATACAGATTTGCATATTTGTGTTTCATAGCAACGTTCTCATCAATGAGTTGTATGTGATATGTGATGCTTGCATGCATAGTGTACGAAAAGTTCTCATACCGTAAACATGTCGCTATTAATTGCTCTACTCATCTTATATCAAATTAATTGTTATGAATATTGCTATTATTTTGATAGCTTAACGAGATCTTTTAAAGAATATAAATAAATTATTTATTAATTTAATCCCAAAACGAGAAAAGATAGAATCAACAAATTATACATAAAAACTTTTTCGGTTGTTTTTCTTTTAATTTGCGTAAAGTTATGTGTTGGTGTTTACGCGTTTACTGGACCGTTTTATATAATCTATTTATTCGATTTTTTAACGATATTGGCGATACTTTAGCGCCAAATTCAAATGATTGTCATAACAGTTGTTGTTGCTGTTGTTGTAAACATTGCTGTTGTTGCCATTCATTTCACAAAAGTTGCTGCATCTGCCATAAACATAACCGGATTAGTGATCCATCACTTAATAGCGACGAAAGAAGAACCATAAGTGATATACATTTAAATATGTCGACGGAGCATGATTACGTCATTGTAGGTAAGCTGAGTTTAAGGCGCAACAATTCAGAAAATTACATTCGACCTGCAGTGAATTTTTATTAGTTACAGCTTTAAAGGATTTTATTTATTGTTGTGGTGCGAGAACTTTTTCTACATGGAGCATTCTTTAATGGATTCGAATTTAAAATATTTTTGCTTATTTTGAACGCATTAACACGCCAAGCACGTCCATGCTTACATTAAATTTTGAGATATTTTCCGTTAATTTTTTCTCAAAGCGTTAGACTTAGCCTGGTTGGAGTCTGTTTACCAAGCTTTCATTTTTCCGTCAGTTTATGAAAGCTGCAACGTTTCAACAACAAGCTATTGAGAGATGGATTGTCGGACGATGTGACGATGGGGATAGACGTTTTCGACCAATCAACTTCGATTCTTACGTTGACTAAGAATGTATATCCCTTATGGCGTCTCAGATGAGTGAGAATAGTGCACATTGTTCTTCCTGCGGCCTAGAATAATGTTTCCAAAATTTCCGAAATCCTTTTTAGAAACATTGTCCAAGGGATACGCAAAATAAAACCAAGTAAGAAAATTGTATTTGATCGCGATCGAATCTTTTATACGCACCGCCGTTATCATAAAAAAAATGTAAAAAAAGGAAAAAAAAAATTTTGGTATTCTATAATATGGGTGGGCGGGGCAGATTTTTTCTGTTTTCAAAATAAAAGTGGAACTTTATATAGTGATGTACTTTACGAGCAACGATCAAAAAATGTGGAAAGCAAAGATGCTCGCTTTGTAGGCGCGTCCTTTGACTGGTTTGGACCGTTTTCATTTTTTTTTGCGAATTTGTAGGCGATATTTTAATTTTTGCAAACGGGAAAACGTTTACCACAAACACTGCAGAGTTGGGCAAACGAATAGACGGACATGTTGAAATGCATCCCGAACTTGATAGTGCCCATGGAATAAACGTTCAAATTTTTGTAGATTTTTCTCCTCTAGTTTATTAGTAATGAGCAAAAAATCAATTATTTATTTTTTTTGAAAAGCGAAAGCAGTTCTGTAGGAGTGTACTTCGATCTATTTGGCCCACTTTTAATACCAACCTGCGTGCAAGAACTCTCAACGTTTCTGCGAAATTTGAAGCCGGTAGTTTCATTTTTGCGACTAGGATAATATTTAGAAATTGCGTAGAGGGACAGACAGACGTGCTTAAGTCGATTCAAAATTTGACACTAATCAAGAATATGTACACTTTGTGGAGTCTCTGAAGCTCGCTTCTGAGCGTTGCATACGTTTTGACAAAATGAGTATGCCCCTCGGTCACTTGTCGATCACAGGAACTAGGTTACCGCGACCACTGGTCTTTCTTCACTTCTCTCTGACCTTCAACCTGTTACAAGAATAGGGCATATCCCTGATTATACTGATTGTTCCATATTAAAAAACCAAAAAGTCTACATAAGATACACATTATTGCGAGACATTTGGGGATACTGCTTAGATGTTATTATATATTTAAAGTGCTCCTATTTCCTATTCCCTCTAAGGCGAAAGCAGCATTCCTACCTTTTTTTCTCTTTGTTTAAAAAACATACATTTTCTTTTCTGCTTTAGACGAAATCGATGCCAATTATTTGCAAATTGAAAAACGAAAAATAGAAACTGAACTCTATTATCGGACGGTGGATCGGGCAATCGCTGAAGATGTACTGACCGATAGAGAAGACGGCACTTGCTTAGTGAGGCCATACAAAGAAGCGGTAACAAAATTTAATTAAAACAAAAAAAACTTTTTTTTAATTGCTTGCCAACACAGCTCGTTTATTATTCAATAAAATTTTTACTTCCTAAACTCCACAAGACTTGGATTACAAACCTTCAAGGGTTTTAACTATATATTTAATTCAATTTTTCCTTACAGGATATCACCATCAAGTATATTGTTAGTATTTATTGTCGGCAGCAATTCTATCATTTATATATACGACAAATATGCGGGAAGGAATTATATGCCATTGGTCAACCGAAGCCGAATGAGCGTTTATTTACTACACCCAATGAAATCATTGATTTTTATAAACATCATCATTTGTTGTGTACGAACAAACAAACAACGATGAGCGTTATATTAAAGCCACTTATTGTTTAAATTTTTTAAATGAAAAGAAATTTTTTATTTACAATAGCAATAGCAAAAGATTAAATAATCTCCTTAAGTTGCAACAATGGCTTTAAAAACGCAACGATTATTTTGCATTAAAGCGGGCCAGAGGAATGCTTTAATCAAGTCTGAACGGCGATCAGATTGTAAATGACGATCATGTTTTTCCGGACGAAGAAAACCTAAAAAAAAGTTAATAAATTATTTTTTTTATCGACTTTAAACTTTAAACAACCGATTACCTAAATTAAAATCGATGTCCAAATAATACGGTACTTTCTGGTTAACCATTTTCCAAGCCAAACGTACACAATTACTTACATAATGCGTAAGCGGTGGACATGAGTCCAAGCAGGGATATTCATGCAAAGTTGATAATACCTTTGGAAATGATGTTTGCAAATGAATTTTTATACTCTCTTCACTTTTGTTAGGTTAGTAGATTTTACCTGATTGAAGACTGTTCTCTCAATTTCCCCTAACGGAAAAGTTTCTATCGTCTCGTATAAATAATTACGTACTGAACGATCCAAAGCTAAAGTTATCTCATTTGTACTGTCTAACGGGCAATATACCGAACGTCTTACTTCCAATACCTTACGTTCACGCATACCATGACACAAGCGAAATGAAAGCTGAAAAGATTCCAAAAATTCTTTTTTAATAATTGTTAAAGGAAAGGTTGACAAGTAATTTTTCAAGGATTCTATCTTTATCTTAATCTTTGACTGGCTCTTTGGTTTTTATATTAATTTTTTCGTTTTTCGTTAAATGGAAAGTTGTTTAACATTTTCTATTAAGAGCCAATCATTAAACTATCAAAAAATATCCTTAATATTAATTATTTCATTATTTTAGTGCAAGGATAACATGTATTTTCATAGCTTTCCCTATATACGTTATTTATCTCTTGTACGGTTTACTTTGGTTTTGAACAACTTTCTCTTTTAGTTCCTATTTTGGGAAAATAGAGTGCCGATGTGTATGTAGGAGTCGACTAAAATTTCATTTAAGAGCATTTAAATGTAACTCAATAATTTAAAAATATTAAATAACCACTATTAGTATAATATAAGTAATTAACAAAAAGGCTTAATTAGTATTTTTGAAATTCCTCATAAAATCGTATTTTTGATGATGTTCGAAAATAAAAGATATATAAAAACGGAATATTTTATATGAAAGTGGAAAAGGAAAGAAACAATGCTGCTAAATTTGTTATTATCTACCGTTTTAACGTTTGCAGAGCTGCTTAAATGATTAACTGGAAAACTTCATTCACAATAATTCATTTTAATCCGTTTATTATGTTTGTTTATAGTGAATCAATGTTCATATCCCACCTAACAATTATTAATAATCACTTTGGTACATAAAGAAAGTCTGTGGGATAATTGCTATTTATTACTTTATGGAAATTTTCACATACTAAGTTGTTTGCATGCTTGAAAATACGGAGGCTACTTTTAACACTTGTCCGCAATGTATCAATTATTGGTTTTCAATGCTGTGGTTATTACATTTTTAAAATTGAAAATATCAGCTACTATACGACTATTGATCGGATTCATGAAATTGAAGCTAAAAATGCAAAAGTGTGGCGTCGTTATTTACATAGACTTTTCGCATTTGGTATTTTTAATCTAATAATTACAGAGTAACGGCAACATAATAATTGCAGTGTTAAAACAATTTGCTTACTTTCCTCTTTTCGCCTGTAAAAAATAACAATACAAATTATATACCTATTAATATTCACAAATGCCTCGTTGTTTCTTTAATTCCATGTTATCCAAGAGGGTGAACAAATATAGAGTCTGTACTCTGCAGCTTTAGTTGTGAATGGTCATTGAAGGCAATGTTCCGGCTTTCAATTTTGTTCACTGTGAACTCGCACGCTTGTTTTTCTTTTTTAATAAATAACAAAAAATAATAAAAACAAAAAATCACTTCGTTTAATGGCCTATCATAATCGGGTTATTAATCGCGAATGAAAAATTTGCTTTCGCATTTGTATTTAGATGTTTGAGAAATACTAAAGCGAAAAGCAACTTTCAGCTACGTGATTATTCGTAACTAGTAAATATAACCATGTCCTCGCTAAATTCCCTGTTGAAAGGCAAAGCATAGAGTCGTTTATAATATATATAAATGGTTGAGTGCCCAACTAACAACATAAATGTTAACGCCGATCAGCTATGTTAAAGGCGCAACTTAACAGACCAGAGGGATTGTAAAACAAAGTGACCAAAAAAGCAAAAGCCGTCGACACGCAACTTAACATGGAAAAAAAATTAACATGAACTAACTGACCAAAAAAGCAAAAGCCGTCGATGTTAATATCTGCTTAATGCGCTCTGGCGTAATTTGCAAAAAATACGATTAAGAATGCGAAAAATTCTGGAAGAAAAATCCACTGCAATTTTAGCTTACTTTTTAATTTTTTTACTATATATAAAATGTCACTGATAAAATCACTGATAAAAAAAAGTTAGAATTGTACACCTCAAGCTCGAAATTTCTATGGTTTGTGTGTTTGTTGAAATATAAAAGAAAAGGAGAAAGAGAGCAGTTATGCATTGCAGATTTCTCTTGAATTTAGAAAATAACAAAAATAAGAGCGATTGTGGATGTGAAAGTTCTCTTGCATTTTAAAAAACAAGACAAAAACCTTTTTAAAGAGCAATTGTGAATGTAAAATTTCTCTTTTGTGTTAGAAAAAAACAAGAAATCTCATTAAAAAGCAATTGCGCTTCTCAAACTTCTCTTGCATTTTAGAGCTGATCAATCTTTTTCTCTTTCAGTTGTACAATGTATTTCGGGAAGGAGGCGAGCGTGGGTGACGTGTAATAAAAATATTTTGAGAAAAATTAAATAAAAAATTATTCAAAGTTTACGAATAAATGTGATAAATGAAATAATTACTTGCGATTTAGGAAAAAACAGAATTAAATAAAAGTTATACTCTTTGTGCCTAAAAAATGGTTTGCAAAAATGAAAGATAAGCAATTGTAAGAATATATGTAATATTTTACAAGAAAGAGAAAATGGCGCTAAATTTGTATGTAAGTTTATTGTCAAAGTAACAAAGGTACTAAAATTCTAACTAGGTTATGGTTGTGTACTCTTGCTTCTAATTGCTTTTGAAATAAAAATCAAAGTAAAAAAAAGTTGCAAGCTTAGGTATGTGAAGAAACTAGACAGAAAAGTTAAAAAAAAAAAAAACAAAAACAAGAAATTATGTTGTCTCCCTAATGTTTATAAATTTTGTTTTTATTCAAAGTTACTGTTTATTATATTATTTATTTATATATATTTTTTTCTATATTTCTGATATATGATATTGTTATTATTATTATTTGAACGGTGTTGTTTTTCTATTTTGATTGGCTAAGTGTACTTTTTTGCACATTTATGCTTTTATGAAGCAATTTAAAATGGACAGTTTTTCGCATTTTATCACGATTTGATTTTTCTACTCACCACAATAATTGAAAATAATATTTTCGCTTTTAAATTATGTACGTGTTTTAGCTGTGGCATACTATCCAATGACTCTAAAGTGTCTGATCTATTTTCTAAATACAAAGAACGATACTGAGTAACCATGCTACTAAAAATATATATGAAAGAAAAGTTATTAAATGAGAAAAATAAATAATAATAATAAAAAGAAAAATGAAATGATATTTTTACCCAATGTCCTCATTTGCTGAGTCATCTGAATGGTAGCCATCGCTGCTATTGCTGCCATTGGGTGAATTTAAGCCATTAGCAATTGTTGTAACAATTGGTGTTTTTGAATTTGAAACAATCTCATTACCCATAACATTTAAAATAATTTCACAACCACGTGCAAAGTTCATTAATAAGCCAGCTGCCGGTCTCTTTTCAACATTTGCTTGTGAATCAACACGTTTCAATTGTCCCACACATTTTAGCACTTCTTTATCGTTTTCCACTCTCTGCGATAAATTTTCAATTAGACTAGTTAATTGCTTTAAGGCCGGCTTATCCAATATGGTTAATAAAGTTTTATTATCAATAAGTCTTTGTTGTATGTCCCCGTAACTAATGGCTAAGAGGCGTTGATGTGAAGATTGGGCGGGATCTGGTTTTACTGTTATCATACTTAACTCTTCCAATTTATGCAGAGCCATCTTGTAAGTATCTACATGTCTTTGCAATTCCGTTTTTAAAGCTGAATGCAAAGATATCAACTGACCGGTGGCATCAGCAGTTAAGCCATGACTACCTAAACCTTGGACAGCATTATTAAATGATTTGCGGGTATCTCTTATTGTATGTCTTAGATTAGGTTCATATTGTACTAACGATTGTATAAGTTTTGAACAACGCTGTTTAATGTTTGTATCATGAGGATTCGAAAATAATCTTACTAGTTGCCAAACAATCGATTCAGTTGGCACATCTAATTTTGGAGAAGGGTTAACCGTAATTAATCTGCAAGATGGCATAAATTTTAAAATCAATTTTTACTTTTTATATAATATTTAAAAAAAGTGTTTGCTAGAATCTTGCCTTGAATAAAATGATTCCAAAAGGTAGGCGCTATGTGGTAAATGCTCTAACAGCAAGTCAATGGGCAGCTCTGCGACAACAGACCTTAATACCGAGGGTCCTAGACGGCCGACAACACCTGCTGCTTCGCGATATTGCCGTCCCTCTGATAGTAACATTAAACGCCTTAAAACCTGACGCGGACTAGTCAAAAATTCACGGCCATCACGTGCAGGACCTCGTATTCTTTCTCGACTATCTGCCATAGTTAAAGAATCTTAAACGTGCTTTTGTCACCGATATTCGTTTGCCGTTATTGCTTCTTCCTAATAGTTTACGATCCGTTTTGTAATATGATTTTCTATTGCATTGGCTTAGGTGAAAAAACTATAACAAAGTTATAGATCCGTAATGTTTTCTTAAAGGTCTTAGAAACCATGATTTATACCACCGTCAAGAAGCAACTACAACAGTTTTTAGCTGAAATATACAAAAAAAGAAAAAAACAATAATAATAATTTTTCATATTTTTTTTTTTTTAAATAAACAAAAAAACTTTGTTCCTAAAGTATAAACTACAATGTTTTGAACACCAGTTAAACATAGAAACGCAAGTCATAAAAACATAATAATAATAAATAACATTAGCGGAAATAGTCAAACAAAAAAGTTCATTAAACTTTTAATGCGACATTGTCAGCCAGCAAGAAGAAAGCATTCCATAACCACTACGTATTACTGTTTAATTATAAGACCTTAAGTAAACAAAGCGGGAAAAATGCATTTAATTACTTATTACCAGACCCGTATATCGGACAAGAACAAGACAAGATTCTGTTACAAAGTCGTAAACAGAGGACTTGCGAACAATTGAAGCGTGGTGTTGCAAGAGTCATTACTTGAAGTTTCGAAATTTTCATATTTTAGAATAAAAAAAAAAAAAACGCAAAACTTAATATCATGTTGCATAATAGTGAACATGAAATGCATATTTCGTTAATATATTTACTATATTTTTATTAATTTAAAAGTTTTACTTCAAAATCCCTCTGGGTGGCTGCGTAGACAAAGGATATTAACTAACAGTGGCCATGGGTCCAAATCTCAACTGCGCTAGAGTTTTTATTAAAGACGATATTCTTAGATGTTGGTAGTGCTTTAAGACTATAATCTTGGAATTTATTTCACTGCAATTTTAATAAAACTGTGTTTTATATTGTAAGGGTACCAATCAAAGTATAAATGCCATAGGTAGGCATAAATTAGGTGAAGAGGAAATGATTTCAAACTTGTTGAATAAGTCACAAGACAAAGTTATTTCCTTTCAACTTCAAGTTAGTGGAAACAATATAAGCCCGCCAGCATCTTTCTTTCGAAACACACGCGGTAAGTTTGCTTTTCAACGCATTAAGAAACAAATATTGATCTACAAATACTTCTCGAAACTATACTTTAAGAGACGAAAAAATTCATGAGTGATGTAGGCAACAGTATCGTTTTGGAAGCAGAAATGTTCTCTTTTTAGCGAGGATGCAAACATAGGCTCGAATCCGCTTAAATGTTCTCGGTGTTTGTTTGGCCAACGGCTTTAGGGACAAGCATGGATTACTAAATTATAAGGCGTTCCATAATTGAATTCGTTGTCAATCGGACTATTCGTCCGCGGATTCTATAGCATATTGAGCAGTCTGTTTGAGAAGAAATGAAAACAAGGTTTCATCACGTGGAATAAGATACCCAGCTTCCCAGCTACCCAGCACATACAATCGATAAACTCTCATTAGCTGGCAAAGCTAATATACTGGCACAATCTGAGCGGTATTTAATACTTCTTTAACTGAATCAACAACAACAAATCATCATGTGACGCTTTTGTTTAACTTTTCTGGAAGCTAATGCACATTGAATTATAAGTGTGTGTGCAGGAATCGAAAGATTTTATTCTTTCGAATTATCCATTAAGTGATATTGTGTCTTCAACATGCCTCATAACATGAGGCAAAATAAGCGCTAATTTGCAATTGTGCGCTGTACGCTCGACTTTCGATTGTCGCTAAGAAGGAAAATTGCCTACATTTTAAATCATACTGCACAAGAGTCTTATCGAGAGTTAGCAAATTGTCCAAGAAATTATCTCGTTCATCTTCATACTCGTCTAAAATCGACCGAGCATTCAAAAATTGCAAAATATTTTGTTAATGATGGATGCGTTAGTTGGTTGGTTTTTACGATTAGCGCATTGAATTTTCATACAGTCCACGTATACGTTGTTTGACAAAATCTGTTATGCATTGCTGGTCACTCGGTCTATTGTTGCCTACCGACTCAGATCCATATACCAATTTTTGAGAGTGCCGGCGAACATACTTTACGTGTGGGACTCCCTCGCGAGAATGGTATTATTAATTATTAGTTTCTTGGGAAATCCGTACCGCGATCTAGAAACATAGGACGCTGTTTCCTTCTTCCAGTAATTTATGTGCCATAACAGAAGTTTTTTTAAGTCCCTTTTTGCTGTTGTCTTGTACATTGCTTTCAATGCCAATTCAATTTTTGCTGTGACCATTGCGATATCAGCTTATTCACATGGCTTCTTGGTCCGCCACAAAAATTTTCACGGCATATCATGATTCTTCGAACTTTCCAGCCCTTTTGTTGCCCTCGAATGGCCAGGCACCTCATTGAGTGTTTGAAGACTCTCCAACGCAAGTCTTCATGCTATCATTCGTCCTTTTAGGGACTTTAAAATGGCTTGACTGTCGGGGTAGATGCAGATCAGTAAATAGGTTTTAAGCCTTTCGCTAACCCTAGCCTAAGGAGTTTGTAATGAATACTTCCGAGGATCATTAACGAATGAAAAATCTTCTATCGTAGATAATCCTGTGCTAGCTAAAAAAACCGTAGTTATTAAGGTAATAAATACGAGCAAATGTTGACATGAAATTTATAATTGATTTCAGCATTTTCTTTATTGAATGTTATGCGTTCACAGCAGTGTGCGAAAGTGCAGAAAACTGGAAAAAAAACATGTTGATGGACAATGTAATTAATGTACTAAAAGATTACGTTAGAAATCAAGGTTAAATACCAGCCATGTTAATGATCTGAAAGTCTTTCTTCTTTTGGCGACTGGATCGCTGAGGCCTTTTAATAAATTCATTGATTTATTATTATAAAGTTTTAAAAAACCAGTACCAGTAACTCTGATTAAAAGCAAAGCTTTCTTTTTGATTCGAATATTTAATTGGACCTATTAAATACTTGCATTTAATTTCAGATTAACATTGTAAATACGTTATATATATACATGAAGGTTCTAGCTAGCTTTTTCTTAGCTATCGAAAATAAATTTGCAGCCGCAATTTTGACAGTGGACTCTACTCCACTAATCCATGAAGATCGGACTTATGAGTGGATAGACAACAATCTTGAATGAATTTTACTCCCTTAACTCATGAATATCGGACGAATGAACGGATAGACTCAAATAATTTGGCTAAATATCCCCAAACAACAAACCTTTAATTGTACCTCTGACGGGTGTTCCTCAAGGAGCGATAGTCTATTATTTACTCCGGGTAATAACTATGCAAAGTAATTTACTAACTAAAGCCGGCTCTGCTTCTGCACAGCATGCTTATTTGGGATTGCACTAATAAATATTTTTAGTAAACTTTAATTTCTTATCGTCTATAGCAGCTTTTTAACAATTGTGAACTCGTTTCCGGACGTATAAGTTTTTCTAACTTCTTTTTCCTAAAAACATTGGCAAAGTGCTTCAGGCTTATGTCATAATTTTTGCGATTATGATTAGATTCACTGCGAATTGGTTAGTGAAGGGAGGGACAGATGAAGCTGGGTTAAGTAAATCACACTTTTTACGTTTTCCTTCAGTTCCTTTATTTGAAAGTTTACTAATGAAAATGTTTATGATAAGATTTTAAGTGCTGTCCGAGTGACCGTTACGTGTAAATTTTCTATCGCAGCTTCGACAATTTTTAAAACGCAGAATATCAGTTTCACGCATTAATACGAACAGATCAACTTACACACTGGCTAAGTAAAAATATTTACAGTTGATATAGTTTTTAAAAGGCAATTATAAGAGGAAGCAACTTATGTTATGGTGGATGTAAACAATTGGGACCAAGTTGAAGACTTTTTTACAGCCATCACCGAAGGAAGAAACGAGACATGTATTCAATTTGTCAAAACTTTTGCAAGGCTCAGAAAGGGAGCTTCAAAAACTCCGTAAAGTCTAGATAGGCTTGATCGGTAACAAATTCTAAATCGATTTAAGCATGTCCGTCCGTCCGTTTGTGTAATTTATGTTGTAAACATTCTCTTCGCCGTAAAAATGACGAGATACCGGTTACAAGCTTGCAATAGAATTTGAAAAACAACCAAATCGGTGAACGGTCACGCCTACAACGCCCAAACGATTGTACAATAAAATCTGTGAACACATTTGCTCTTCATATTTCTTGCCTGTCATTCATAAAGGATATCACATGCACCATATAGATTGCCACTATTTTTATGAAACTATTAAGAAAATCAGCAACGCCCATCAAATATGGTAGAGTACAAAAACTTCCTTATTTTCCTTGTGGTATAAAAGGTATAAAAGATTCGGTCATGACCGAATATAATTTTCTTCTTTGTTTAATTTTACATATTTTGCTTATCTTCCAGGAGGCCGCGAAATGATGACCGTTCCTTTACTTACCTTTTTTTGTATTTGTAAATTAATTTGAAAATTTTCCGATGTAATCCAAAAACGAGCCGTTACTTGCCTTCAACAGTTCGGCCAAATTAATTGAACATAACAACAGGAAAAGTGAAATTTTTCTTTTATTAAGAAATCTTTTCTTATTTCTGTTTGTTAAACTTTATTTCCAAAAAAAAATAAAAATAAAAATATATTTAATACATATTCCCATAGTCATAGTAAATAAGTTCACACATTAAGGTAAATAAAAAATAATTTATAGTTATTTCGAGTCATCTATCAAATTGTTTGCAAGTTCATGATTCCGACGTAGGTACGCGAAAAAAAAAAACTAAATTAAGAGCGTTTTTGAAATTCTTTTTATAATTTTAAGAAATATTCACAAACTATGATAGGTAAATGCGTGCTCATGCCATATTACGTTTGTTTGACATAACAGGCTCGCAAATAAACACTAAGAGAATATAATGATGGAGTATATACGAGTATGATATCCGCTCAACACAACCGTCATTGGTAAAAGTCGCATAAAGACTG